GGTCTGTGACTCTTCACTCTAAAGCTTTTCATTATATTCTCAGAGCACTTTTATCATTGTGAGCTAAAATGATGTGTAGAATGCTCTTATGTCGTCTTATTGTTTCATATATTGCCAGGTGCACCTAGACTGAAGTCATTTGACACCTTATTGTGTGTCTGTTTGAGAACTTGGTGAATGTGTCTTGTAGTAGAATCCAGCTTCTCTGATATCAATATCTTCAGAACTGACAATTCTTTGACTACAGGTCTGCCTTTGAACACCACTCTATGGCACATCTTTTCTTAGACAGCTTTCAGACTTTGAAATGTTCTATTTTTTTATGTGAGCCATGTTTAGGTAGTTACTTTTATACTACAACTGTCATTTTCCATGCCTAGCCCTCAGTTTGCACTGGGTTCCACATCCTGGCTAACATTTTAGAGTATATTATCGTGCATTGTGGAATCTAAGAGGGTCTTAAAGTTGTACACCTGTATACTTACACGTTAGGAGTTCTGTTTTTTTTTAACCACTCAAGAAAAAGCCCCATGCAGCATTATGGGGGTGTCTCAAAGCAAATGTGTACTGAATATCCTAAATGTCCAGTTGTAGTTCAGATAAGATTTTAACATTAAGAAGTGAGGCAGTGAATAATAATGTACCTTCCTTCACACACAGGTGTGTGTACAAACAGAGTATAGTATGAATATTGACTCTGTATACATGACTCACACATTTTTAGTCACCAATTATACATTTTAGTCAGACATCGAGGTTAACTAAAATAGTAAAGTGCATGTTGTGTGGATCCAAGATAGAAGAGACAAAGATGAACCTTGTATTGTCTTGTCTTTAACCCCTTAAATGCCAATTATTATTCTAATGAAAATTAAATCCACCACTACACAATTTCTCCCACTTATCTCCCCAGAGATGTTGTGTGTAACCCCAGGGGTACGCATACCACAGTTTGGGAACCTAATCTAGTCCAAACCCCTGCTTCCAGGAGTTTGTAACTATTACTTCTGGTTTTCCCCAAGGGTGCCTTGGTGAACAGTTGTTCACCGAGCCCCTGATGTATGCCCCTGACGTAGCAGTAAGCCACTCTCTAGTCCCCTCTCACTCTTCTCTTTTTCAGGCTGAATAGTCCCAGGTCCCTCAATCTTTCCTTGTGTGGATTTGCCTTGCAAATCTCTGATCATATGGGTGGCCCCTCTCTGGACTGTCCCGAGCTTAACCACGTCCTTGTTGAAGTGTGGTGCCCAGTGCTGAACTCAGTACTCCAGCTGCAGTCTCTCCAATGCCGAGTAAAGCGGAAGAATCACTTCCCTAGTTTTGCTGGAGATGCATTGATTGATGCATGCCAGGGGATTATTTGCCCTGTTGGCTACAGCATCCCACTGCTGACTCATATTCATACTGTGGTCTATTATTACCCTCAGGTCCTTTTCATTTATGGTGCTGGTCAGTTTGGCGTTGCCAAGCTTGTAGGGGTGTGTATGTTGGGGGTGGGGTGGGGGGTTGTACCTAGGTGGAGCATTTTATATTTCTTGACATTTAATTTCATCTGATTCTGATCCACCCTGCTGGCCTGTCTAGGTCCACCTGTATCTGCAGCTTATATTCAGGCATGACCATGCTCCCCTATAATTTGGTGTCATCCGTGAACTTGGCCACTGAACTCTTTACCCCCACATCCAAATCATTGATAAAGATGTTGAAAAGCACTGGACCAAGCACTTTGCAAGCTGTGATGTGCTACTGTGCAGTATTATTAGGCAGAGTCTCTTGTAGACGTGCCCTCTGATTCAATGGGTATCTTTTGGAAAGAAGCATTTTCAATTAATGGTAAAGTTTTGCTTATTGTTATGGAAAGGTTCTCCTTAAATAGAGGCTGGTGCATAAAATTTTCTCCTGCAGATAAATCCACAAGAATTGCCATCTTTAAAAATGCCCACTCTCTATCAGTGTTCTTAGTGTTCACTGCTTACAGTGTGTGCAAAAGAAACCAAGCTTACTGTAGAGAATACAACACCTCCTTATGCTTTTGGAGTGAGAGAAAAACTGCAAGAAAGAGGAATATGCAGGGACAGAGAGGCAAGAAAGAAGCAGTGGTTGTGTGTTGGGAATTGTGGACTGTACGAGGGAGTTAAAG